CAGGCTCTCCAACCAAACTTTAAAAAAAATATGTCTTCCTGCCTTCTGCAGGAAGCAGAAGCTTCCCTTTTTAAAAGACCACAGCTCAAGACCCAGACAGACATTTTCCCTGCCTGGAAGGGAATCTGTCCCATATGTTTCTTTGCTAATAAACCTGATTTTGATGAAGTTTTATCTGTGTCTTGGTGCCTTCTCCTCCATTAGCTCGTTCTCCGACAACTTTTTACCTATCACTATCAGTCCCTATACTATGTTACTTATGCTAGTAAATGCTTGCTCAAAGCCTTTCATCTTTATTTTGATCCTAGGAATGAATCAATTTTTAGATATTTTAGGTATTAAACAGGATGATAGCAATTCTCTTTTTCAGTATCTCTCTTATATGAACACATCTGGGGGAAGGGGAGAGAGGCAGTAGGTGAGATGAACAAAGGAGTGAAAGATTTTCTGAATGATCTAGAATACTGAAAATACACAGGATGCTGTCCTCTCTGGGATCCACACAGATGCTCCAGCACACAATTCTTTCCTCATGTCCATGTCTGTATTTTAATTGGGTATTTTTAACTACTTCTTTGGAAATCATCACCTGAGTTAATTACCACTGGGCATCTTGCCATCACTGCCCAATAATGACTGTGTTTCCAGAGCTTTTGTTAGTGACTCATGAGGATGCCCACATCATAGATAAATGAGAACATGACCCTTCAATTTTTAAAACAGAAGTAGTGAAGGAAAATACCTCTCAGACCCCTCCCTATCCTCTAAGAAAAAAAGCTGCCTTCCACCTGACTCTGAAAATATGCTTCATTGTTCAAACCCTTTCCTGGTTTCTGTTTACAATTTCAATGGGAATGGTATGGGGCAGAAAAGAAAAAACATTCTGAGCTTGCCAAAGATAGTATACTTGGTACATCTGTGTATGGTCTCTATGGGAATGATCTGGAGCAGAAGCGAGAGGACGTTTTGCCCCAGGTGAGACAACCAATAACTGTATAGGTAGAGTCTCTGGAAATCAGCCCTAGATTGTTCCTTTCTTGACTATTCTGTGTATAGTTTCTATGGAAACCCACGGCTTTGTGGTTTTTGTGGCTTTTCTGCTTTAAAAGCTCCACGATTTCACTGTTCAGGGTCACAGGACAGCTCCTGTGACTGTCTGCATCCCCAACCAGTTGGCCTCAATAAAGTGCTCATTTTTACTGAGATTCAGTGTCCTAGTGGTCAATGTAGGGAATTTTATGGACCCATAACAACAGTGTTTTATTTCATTGAAGACTTCATAATATCTTTAGTAGAAATGAATATTTGAATGAACCATCAGTAAGAACATGAGTGTAAAGGTTGCCAAGAGAAAGCTTCATCCTCATTTTTTATTTGGATGAATCATCTGTAACACTTTCACTTGGAATTGAACAAAGCCTCAGAGTATCTTATGACTATGGTTGTTGCCTTGATCTGCCTCTCTCATTTACAAAATACTTTCATGAAAAGTCTTGCTTCAGTTTGAAATATTATTTTAAAAAGAAAAAGGAAGCCAGCTGTGGTCGCACACACCTTTAATCCTAGCACTCAGGAGACAGAGATGGGCATATCTCTTTGGGTTCCAGACAAGTTGCAGCCAAAAGGAGATTTTGTCTCAAAAACAAACAAACAAACAAACAAAACAAAAAGGAATTGAGTATCAATAATTTCATTAAGGGAATGTCTGAAGACAGTGGCACATCCTTAGCAACAAAAAAAAAAATTCACAGAAAAACGTGGCTAAATTTTTATAGTGGTGTCATTTCAAATGTTATATTAATACTATGGAGTAGTGGAAAATCTGTGTTTCTCTGCCACCTGACTGAAACTATGTATTTTCAAGCAAATTTCTCTTTATTAAATATTTGTAAAATATCCACTACAATGTTTAAAAAAATCAAAGTAACAACATTACTATTAAAATATTTTAGTGTATATACATATTACTGTGTGTAATATGTGTCTAAGGTAAAGAAAATCTTGAAAAGATATTAATTTAAATGTAGTTTTAGACCACTGACTTCCCTTTCTAAGAGTCTTTATAAAATTTTTCCCTATTTCAATCTCTGAAACTTGCTTTGTGTCTTTTTGCATTCCTATTTTACCAGAAATAGATTTTTTAAAATTTCAAATACGTATAATATTCACTTAAAAAAGAGATAAATGATGCTTAATTGTATGGCATAACAAAGAACTGGGCCCAGCTCAGGCTGCCTGCCATAAGGAATGGGGAAAGGGCTTCCACATATGTGACAGCCCAGCACAGGTGGGTGTGGCAATGACAACCTACTGAGAGATGATCTTCTGGGAGACAGACTGCCATTGAATATAGCAGGACAGAGTGGGAAACCATGATTGGCTAGCCAACCCCTTATAACCCCAAACACGTTCCAAAATAAAGGAGTCTGCAGCAGCTCGCCCACTGCTTGCTTTCACCACACTCCTTCCTGCTGTCTGTGTTGTAACTCCATGCGTCTCTCCCCCATATCAGCAGGGACCATGTGTCCCCTTCCAGCTGACTCCGGGGGAGGACAGTAACACTTAATGTGTCAAGTATATTTGACAAATATTTAAAATAATCACGTGGCAAAGGGAATATACATTTTATGTGCTTGCTTCATTACTTTCCTTAAGTTCTTTTTAAACTGTGTTTCTTACCAGACAATAGAGATTTAAAATGCTTAGCAATTAGCAGGGCATGGTGGTACAAACCATTAATCCCAGCATTCCAGAGGTAAAGGAAGGTATAAATCTGTGAGATTTATACCATCCTGGTCTACACAAAGAGATGAATGCAAGCTGGGACTACAGAGAGACCCTCTCTGAAAAAACACCAAAAATTAAAAGTTAATAAAATAAAAATTTGAAAATATTTCAATTTTTAATTCAAAGAAATAAAATTTTTGAAAATTAGATAATTACACAAAGTGTTCTAATTACTCACAGGTATTAATGATTACCTATACTAATGGCTATCAACCTGTCATCACATTTCATCAGAAATTTAAAATAAAATTTATCATAAATTGAAGAATAGGTAGATATACATGTGTGTATTTTTCATTAAGGGAAATGTAAGTATATATAACTTTAATCCCAGAAGACTCCTCCTGACTTCTATACTGGTGTAGAATTTGACATGATTCATCATAAGAAGGAACTTTATTATAGGCAGGTGCTAGGCATTATATGTTGCAAAATGCAATGTTCTACATAGTAATATAGAGTATCTTCAAGATTTTTTAATACTTTTTCAACAGAAAAGGCTAATACCATGCATGTGTGTTGGTGTATTAGTTCTAAAAATTTGAAAATATGAATGCTCAACTTAAGGGAGAAACTTAGACTCTAAGATTTTAACAAGTTTATGTATTTCTCCAGGGTTCAAAATGTCACTAATTAGTATGTTAAAATGGAGATTTGATGTTGAAATGCATAATGAATAATTAAAATTTAAGTAATACTTATTAATTTTTAAGGGGATTCCTTAGAAATTTCATGAAAATACTGCAGTACAATGAGGCGATGCAAGTCCATCCACTTCCACTTATTGAAAGAGAGAGGAAAGCATTTAGATGGGGATGTTAAATATTTCAAATGTTTAAGAGTATTTAAGAGTCACTGATTTTATCTCTATTTCTTTTTAGAATATTAACAATTTTGTTGGTTGTATTCAACTATATAATATATTATTTGGAAAAATTTCACACTTTGTCTTACCTTTCATCTCATGAGCTTTTAATACAGATTTGGTGTGAGATTTTTATAATCAAAAGTGTTTCAAATGTAAATATTTCAAGGGTTTTCAGATACCAAAGTTGGTTTATAATGAAATGATACCTTTTTCATTTATATAATTGGGTGAGACCTATGCTAAGTCTTATATGACAAATGTTATTGTGACTTGCTCTAAAGTATTTTTTATCTCAAGTTTCCTGTTATATTGATGAGTTATACCTGAAAATGATAGTTAATTCATTGATAAATATACTTTCCAGGTTTTAAAATGCATGTCTGTCTTTTCTGAAAAGCCTTCTTTTTTTCTTTCATCTTTTAAAAACTGCTTTGTTCATATATGTCTCATACACAATGAAGTATTTATTTATGTTTTGTTTTTTTATTTATCAATTGGTGTCTTTGACATGGAGTTTCTCAGTATAGTTTCACGCTTTAACTTTGAACCAAATTTCGCACTTAATTTGTGAGTTATCTACTTCTGCCTCCTGAGTGCTGAAAATACAAGTGTGAGGTACTGCTTCTTGGCCTATTCTGCAGGTCTCAGATGGAAGAAACTGAGATAATTTCTTAAAACCTCCCAACCTCCCCACTTATCTCTCTCTTTCCAATTGTGTCATCTGTTTTGTTATGTCTATGTTGCTCATCTTTAAATACAGATATGCATAATATATGACTGCACATAAGCTTATTCATAGAACAGGAATGCATATCATATGCAGATGAACACTTGTAATAATTACATATAAACACAAAGTTTTAAATACTACACATGTTAAATTATTCTGAATATTCTTGAAAATCACCTAATTGATATAGCAATTAATCTGCTAGAGGAACTCACTTTATATAACTCAATTTTAGGTTCATTAAGAGAAGAAAATTCATGAGACAGACATTATTACAGAAACTAACACAAAATGTTTAACATGATACCATACAATGAGACAGTAGAGTCTCCCTGATTATCTGTATATGTAAAAAGCTAAGTATGGTTATATACATACATATGTATATATGTAGGCTACAGGCTTGTTTTTTCAAACATACAGGTCATTTGTAGAAAATAGAAGTAAATAGCAGAAAGGGAATGTTAGTCACTCACCTATTATTTTATGATTACTAGTTCACTGATTTTCTTTTTCAGACAACTGGAAGTTTAACACTACAGCCAATTCCACCATGGTGACTAAATTTCTTCTTTAGATTTTAGTGAGACATGGGAGGTCAGGCTCCTGCTCAGCATGCTATTCCTGCTGCTCTATCTTAGCAGCCTGCTAAGGAACCTAACCATCATCATAGTTACCACCATTGACCAGAACCTCCACGCACCCATGTACTTCTTCCTCAGGAATCTTTCCATCTTAGACATGTACTATGTTTCTGTCACAGTCCCTAATGCTTGTGGCAAGTCCTGCACTCACAACAGGGGTATTTCTGTGGCTGGGTGTGTTGCACAGATCTTTTCAATCTTCTTTGTGCATGTATGAAAATTCTCTTACTCACTGTGATAGCCCAGGAGTGCTATGTGGCCATGTGCCAGCCCCTCCTCTACCCTGTCATCATGAATCACCAAGCCTGTGTTCAGGTGATTCTGGCTTCCCTACTCCTTAGTCTTATCATAGCAGGTTCACACACTGTGAAAACATTCCGACTGTCCTTCTGTAACTCTAATGTGGTCCCTCAGTTTTTCTGTGATGTCCTCTCTGCTGAGGCTCTCTTGCCTGTCTTAATTCTTCTAACTGCCATCATCATTAGTGGTAGCTACCTTATCTTCATTATGGTATCATATGTTCACATATTTTCTACTGTGTTGAAGTTTCCTCTGAAAGAAGAGAGAAAAAAGGCCTTTTCCACCTGTGTTGCTCACATTATTATGGTGTCTCTGTTCCTTATCTCTGGTGCCTACGTGTATCTGAGACCTCCAGTCATCTCAGAAGTGATTCAGGACATGATTCTGTCTGTACTTTATGCAAATGTTACACCATTCTTAAATCCTATCATCTGTAGTCTTAGAAATAAACAGATAAATGAAGGTGTAAGTAATTTTAAGAATATTTAAATTAGGAAAATTTAAAAAATATTTTTAAGCATCAGAATCACTGTGTGAGACTCAAGATGTAAACAGTACTCCTTTCTGAGGTTTGTGTACTATCCTGTTTTACCTTAACTGTATTGGCACCTAAGAAATACATATTATCACTAGTTTCTGTTTCCCTTTCACTTATCATCCAAGAATTAAAAAAGTATTTTAAAGTTCATTATTATTTTAATCATATGATTCTACAGGCTACACTGTGAAAATTTGATAACAGCACATAACCTTAGTGATGAAATTAAAGAAGCTATTATATATATATATATATCATGAAAATATTGTTTTTGAAAGCTTTGTAATGATTACATACTTCAGTGAATAGTTATGTCTAAATATATTTGTTTCATATTATTTAAGAT